GTGCACATTGGCATATGCCTTGATGCATATATCAAAACTTATCCTGTATGTGGATGGAAAAAATTAGAGGGAACATTGGTCCTGTCACAGCTGAGGGGTCCTGCTGTCCAGCTTGACCATGGCCGTGGGATCCCACCTGGTTCTGTTTGTGCCCTGGCACAACTGACTGCCTCCAGAGATAACAGGAAAAGGCCAATTTAACAGTAAGCATACCAGTAAGCCTCATGCTTATTGGTTAATATCTTCATCAGAACTATAAACCCTTTTTTAAATTCAGAACTCTTACTCAATTTACATGCAAATTCCCAAACACCACATTTCCTTCAGAAAGAAGCTCCACTCAACCCAATCACAAGCTTTTTCTGAATCTGATTATATGATAGTATTGGTTCTTTTATATGGTGGAGAGTACACCATGTGCCTTTATAATTCTACAAAGAAAGTTTATAGTGTTCTCCCACCCCTCAAGAACTTTTATTTGATCCAAGGACTTTTTTCCATTCTATTTGCTTCTCTTTTGGGAGGGGGGAAGGCAATCATGTAATTTCACGTTCAGTGATTCGCATCTGTAAAATAATGCCTCCATTTTATTCACTCTAAGTCGGTGTTGGATGTGAAATGGCTATGAATCAAAGCACTATGATCAAGACTTCTAACCATAAGAGAGGATTATGTGGGACTAGCATGACATATATTAAAGAAACCTAATTTTCCAGAAATTACTGAGAATCTGCCCTCAAAAGAATGAGGCCCTTTTATAGGTCTCAAATTAGACACCCATAATCATTAGTCACTTTTAAAAATATTAGCTCAAGTGTCTCTCAATATAGTATGAAAGAATTAAAAATCTTCACATGAGAAATGTTTTTTCCCCCTCCTTTCCCCATTTTGGAATTAGGCAGCTATACATTGATAAATGACGTCAACTGGCAGCCTCAGCAAAGACCAGAGGGCTGAAATACTCTCTCATTATTAGGGATAGGCCCTCCAAGCCAGGATTCAAGTATGGCGACAGATATAGTACAGAGAAAAGAATATTCCAGGTTTGGCCATGCTTGACTTATTCTGTGGGCAGAGGATTCAGACTCCAGGACTACCAAACCAGCAATATTCACCGTCACCAAATGCACAGGAAGAAAATTAAGCATGTTCACTCTTCAAGGGACTCTTTTGTGGGTTAAAACCTTATCCCCAAACCTTTGAAATGAAAGACATGTATCTTGTATCCCCTTTAATCTATAGGTTTGGGAAATCAATACTAATTTAACACCTACGCATGGATTTTCCAGAAGTTTTTGTCTTCATCTCCCCTCTTTCTGTAAATGTTTTGTTAAAACGCTCCAAAACCTACCACCACCACCAGAAAGCAGGTCTTTAAGGTTAGCTTGAATTGGTTAGAGAAGAACAACAGCACAGGAGTATAGACACAAGGAGACTTTTTATGTGTATTTTAGCTTGCTGGAATTGCATCCCAAGTCATACTCCTCATTCCACAGAGAGGCTAAGCACTGTGATGATGGATCTTTGAATTGACTAAATGCTGGAGGAGAAAGACGAACAGGGCAAGTTGCAACTCTGAAGAATTGATGAACTGAAGACACCAAAAGTCTGTTAAAACACAAACAGCGTGGCTAACACTTATTCTTGGGTAGATTTAAAAGGAAGAGTTCACATGTCAAAGCCTACAAGGTGAAAACCTGTCTATAGAATAAAAAGGATTTTTGCCTTCTGTTCATACCCTGTCCAGACAATAATTCAGAAGTGGAGTAAAGGAAGTGGGTTATGGGGCCACGCCACTTGGATGGCTGGAAAGCAGCTTTTGAACATGTGAAACAATAGAGAACATGATTGTCTCACCAAGCCTTTTACCTTTACAGGCAAAGCTACCTTTGGCCTGCAATGACATTGTCTGAGAGCAACAACTGCAGTTCCCCTCTTGTCCTTCATTTCATGAGAAGACTAAGAGTGCCCCCTGCTGCTGTGATGAGAGAAATGCCACTGATTCCAAATAATTGTTTTAAACTAAAATATTATTATTAAAAATAAATCCACCAAAAAATCCAAATCTATGGCGAAGGCATACAATTTTTAACAAAACTCAAAAAGAATGTATGGCATTTAGCAATGTTCAATGTGTGCAAATTTTATCTCTTCTGAAAAATAAGTAGGGACATGATTAAATCAGCTCAATTTTCTCTTTGCTTGCTTATGTTCTGAACATAAAAACATGGGTTCCTAAATTTATTGTGTGACTAAGTGAAACTGACATTTTGGTGGAACACTGCTTTCTAATTAACATGCATTGTTCTTAACACAGTTTTGATAATGTGGCTATCTAAGCCTTGTGTTCTTTAAAACAGACACTAACAAACTGCTACCACACCCCCATCTTCTCAACCATGCGTTGTTTTCCAATGCCTTTTTAATAACATGAAACAAAACATCTCTCTCTACTAATCTTCTATCTTTTAGACAATAACAGATTCCATCTGTCCCCCTGAATATATTACAGAACCAAAAGTTAACCTGGCTCTGTTTATTATTTGGTCAATTCTCTGGTATTACTGAGGATATTCGCTGAGCAATGACAATCTGACTCATCAAGTTGGTTGCTCTACAGCTAATGGGAAGAGTTAAATTTGGGTCTTGAAAGGTTTTGTATAATTAGAAATCCAGGGGCAATTTTCCTCTCCATCCAAAGAAATTCTAACAGCTTTAAGATCTACATTTTGGGTCTTTATAATATCTAGAGCCTCTATCACTATAGTTCAGTGTTTCTCAAAATGGTTCGCAAAACCACTCTGAGAAACCAGCTAACTGGGCACACCAGTGTGTTTATTTACCAGCTCTGTAGCCATGGAGCCTCGCAGTTCCCATTGGCTCCCGTTTGTAGACAATGGGAGCTGCAGGAAGCAGGGGCCCAGCCTGTGCTGCTTCTTGCGGTTCCCCTTGGCTGCAAACAGCAAACAGGAGCCAATGGGAGCCGCGAGGTTCCGTGGCTACGGAGCCGGTAAATAAGCACACCGGAGAGGCCATTTAGCAGGTTGAAACACTGCTATAGTGTCAAAGTTTAAGCATACAAGACCCTTTAAGCAAGACTCTTCTGGCTAGGCTAGAAGAGCCCTCTCTATTCTACAGCGGTTATTTTACTGTGCTCATCACCATAGTATCTGAGCTGCTTCCAGTCATGCATTAAGCGACGTGCCTAACCTACTTTTAACACATGAACACCTTAGCCTCATTCCAATTAAATAGATACAACATCCCTAATCCACTTCCACCCCTTACACAGAATAGTCCAACAAGCAGTGAGGGCACAAGATCCTACCTTCATCTGGCTGAGGCATAAGTGTTTTGTCTCTTATACCTTAGCAACATCTCTATAACATTTCATGCTAATATCGTATTTAGAAGCTCATGAATAAAAGATCTCCAGGGGACTCTAGTACTGTTTACTGCCAACCGGTCATTGCAGGATTGTTCCCTACAGAGTTCTTCAATGCACAATACATTTTTTCTTTGACTGGGTTAAACAACTAGCTTTCCCTCCATCTTGCTTTTGGAAATAAACCTACAAACTAACAGTGTTCATTGTTAGGAATGTTAAAATTCATCAACCTAATCTCACAAGGCCTCCAGAAGATCTCTTTATTCCTTTTCCAAACACTGACCATGTACTCACTCCTGAAAATACTTTGTTCTTATATAGCTGTTTGCATCAATACACCTCAAGGCAGCTCAGCATCACAATAGTACAGAGAACAAGCAGGCCAGGAAAGAACTAGAAATAGAATCTGGTGGGGGAATAGAGGGTTGCACTGGATGATCTGACAGTCCCTCCTGCTCATAAACTCTATGATTCCCCTAGTTCACTAATGCATACTGGCTGTAGAATCTGAGCAGCAGCACAGTCTGACTAGCTGGTTGGAGTAGGAAATGTGCCATATTTAGTATTATGCAAAAACTGTCCCAGATTTGCAACGTTTTATTGAATACTTAAGGCATCACCCATACAAGTGATACCATGGATGCAGCCAGGGAACATGAATCACGTTAACAAAGACAAAGTTCCCCCTCTTTACAGCAGGCAGGAATCCCTAACGTTCTCAAACACTCCAGCTTCCAGTGTCATCACATGTAGTTCTCAATACTTAGGCATGCTGCTGACTGAGCAGGTTCTTGCCGAAACAATCCATTATAGTACAAGTGTTCTCACACAAATAATTCCTATTTGCTTCATCCATACCAATCTGTGTGCAGTGTAGGGGTTGCCCCAAGGACCTTACTCACACATCTTTTTATATTAGGTTAATTGTTCCAAAAGAACCAAGCTTTCGGAGCTCCTGAACAAAAGGATATGCCCAAACCATAGCGCCACATGCACAGGACAGGTGAGGAATTTGGTTAGCTCATTGTAAAGCAAGCCTATCTGCTGTCTAGCCAATTTCTTAGTGCTCCTCACCTCACTTTCTTGGGAAAGCCAAGGAATACATACTGGAGTAGGAGAGATTTGAGGCCAGATTCTCAAAAAGTGCAAAGGAGCCAGATCCTGACTAGTACCTACCATCTGAGAACTTCCGCAGTCTATAGGAGTTGGGATACAGAACTCAGCACCTGCAACATCCGGATTTATCAATGCAGCATGATGAACATGTCAGACAAGACTGAGATGTAATGGGGCATCTCAGCTGAGGTTCTTTAAATGAGCACGATTCCTAATTCAGGCACAGGCTGGTGCCGTTTGGCTCTCAGCATCAGGACACAATGACTTGCTCACTGATGCACCTTACTTTTCCCCCATGTGTCCCTGCTCCAAGTGAAACCCATCCGCAGGAATAATCTGCCTATTTCATTTCAAGTCTCCATGTCTGCACAAAATAAGTCTCACTTACCCCAGTGAGACAACAGTTACATAATATTTCTGGTAAGACAGCAAGTACACCTGTTAAAAGCCACGAACGTCCCCATAAATAACTAAGTGGATGAGCAGATTTCTTTACCTGAACAGCTCTCTGATTTCCCTCACAGTTGCCTGGAATGGGATATTTCGGACCAAAATTTTGGAGTTCTTTTGTTTCTTGAGTGTTTGTTTTTTACGGGATGATGTCACAGTGGGCCTAGTAAAACAAGAGAAACAAGGTAAATTACACTAACAAGCAACACAACACAGATCTCTCTTTTTTCCTTCCTAGACCAAGGTTCTCAAACTCCTGGCCCATGGGTCATCCCCATCCAGAGTGATTGAGCAATCCAGCCAATGACTCATGGGGGACCCCTAAACCCCACCCTTTCCCACCATCACCCTGCCTTCTCCCCCCAAGGAACCCCATACCGCAAGGACACTGAACTTCCTCTGGCAGCAGGAGCCACAGGGAAGTGAAAAATTAAATTAAATTAATGGAGATTGCCTATCTCCTAGAACTGGAAGGGACCTTGAAAGGTCATCGAGTCCAGTCCCCTGCCTTCACAGCAGGACCAAGTACCATCCCTGACAAATTTTTGCCCCTAATCGCCTCCTGTTTTTGGAGGGAGGTGGGAGTGCAGAGCCACCTTCCAGCCCCTCTGCCGCCTTCACCTGGGAGTCCCATCCCTACCTCCTTCAGCCTGCTGCTCTCCACCCTGTTGCACGGCCCCGTCCCGCAGCCTCAGCACTTCCCACACTGCTCGTCTCCCTCATGGAGCCCCCATCAAGTGGGTTAAAGGCTGTGCTGAGGTCATGCCCAGCCATCAGCACTGCCGCTGCTGGGCCCTCACTAGAGGGTGAGTGCTTCCCAGGCTGTGGCTCCAGGGGCAGCTGAGGGGAGAAGAAAATGTGTGGGAAGGGGCCCCCCTGTCCCAAAGCTGCACTGGCACCTGGGCCAGTGGCAGGAGGGCATGAAAATTCTCCTCAGCTTGGTGGGGAGGGGTCGGCATGTCAGTTCTGAAAGGCTGCCAAACCCTGTTCTAGGCAACTACGGGCTCTAGTATTTAATAGACTTAAGCAGCAAGAGAGATCAGACAGGCATCAGGCAGACTTACTTGATGGCCCTTTCAGAGATCTTCACTTCCAGCTGATGGCCATCCACTGAGCAACCCTAAAAAAAACAAAGTTACAAAATTTGGTAAAAGAAAGACTTTAAGAATACAGATAGGAGTTTTACATCTCCATGTTATCCACCTCCCCCACCTCTACTTTACCCAAAACTCTTCTCTTTGCAAGTGCAACTAATACAGGTTGGGAAGCAGTGTGGTCCATAGGCCACAACACTGGCATAGGAGTCAAGCCACAAGAATTAATCTTAACTATGCCATTGACATGCTTTGTGATGCTCCCTGTGCCACTATTCCCACTCCAGTCTTTGTCTTTGTATTTCAATTATGGGCCCTTTGGGGCAGAGGTATGTTTGGCACACAGCATGATAAGGACTCTGATCTCAGTTGCAGTCCATAGGTACTACTTAAAAACAAAACATACAGGTATTATCTGCATCACCCATTGTTACCTGGAGCTGTTTAAGGGCTTTCTGAGCATGATCGGGTTTTCTGTACTCCACAAATCCAAAGCCCATAGAAAGTAAAGTGCCTACCAGAAAAGAAAGGAAAGAGATCGGGTAAAAAGCATTTGACAGTGACCTGCACAACAAATAGGCTCTTGAGACTGGGTATGACAGACAATTAAAACTGAATCAACCATGCTAGAAATTTGGTGAGCATGGGTGGAATAAATCTGTCCCAGAAGAGCCCAAGGCAATTGTGAAACGAACTAATATTGCAATACTTCAGGACAGAGTCACCCTTGGGAATGATGCAAAGGAAGTTGTACTACAGATGTGTATGGTGGAAATCCATTTAATTTGTAACTTTTGTGAACACAACTTAACAGAACACTAACCTTCGGTACTACAGAAATGATAGCTATATAGATACAAGGTCAGTGATCTTAAGGATTACATACAAATTTGTTCATGCTCTTGATTCTCTTGTAGTGCTGCAGCGACAAACTTTTGGAATTAATTTTTCATCATAATCTAGACATAGGCATTCCTAATTTGCTTAATTTGGACATAAGTACCTCCATAAATGAACTGTACTTCCTTTTAGAAGGATGTAAAATCTAGGTCTGGACTTTTGACTATTTTTCATCTGAAACCTATCATGAGTTTACTCTTGCCATCAAGAAATATGATGCACAAGACAATACAAACAAATTGTAAATGGAACTTTAAAAAGACATGCCAACTAGTTAGATCCCTCGCCAGAAAGGATGGGCTTTTGGCCACAGGTCAAAGACTCAGGAAAAACTGGCTCTGCCACGTATCCTTAGGTAGTTCATTCCATGTATCCTTAGGTAGCTCATTTAAACTTAATGTGTCCACTGCCCATTTGTAAAGTGGAGACAAAATGGCTATGTCTACACTGAAGGCTTCTTAGAAGAAAACACCGACACTGCCAGGTGCGAGCTGTGCTTTTCTACAAGAGTGCCCATGGCAGTGTGGACACTCGCTTGCACAAGAAAGCTCTGATGGCCATTTTAGCACCTGCGCAAGAGAGCTTACACCTGATAAAAAAAAAAAAAAGAGTGTAGTGCTTGCTCCCTCTCTTACCACGCCGTACTGTAAATTTCCTTGCGCAAGAGCTGACGGGCAGTGTGGATGCTCTGCAGATTCTTGCGCAAGAACGGCTGTACTTGCACAAGAAGTCACGAGTGTAGACACAGCCCATGTGTTTTGTCGTATCTATAAAGCAAACTTTTGGGGTGTCAGGCGTGTACACTGAATGCCCAGCATAGAGAACCCTGAGCTCTGTGGCTACACAGCGAGAAGCATAGGACCTATACATATTAGGTTTTCTCCAAACCACTATGCAAATATCTTAGCAAGGTAATGAAGGCTTAAACCTATTTACAAGCCAGAGACTGTTATCTGTTGTCTTCCACTTTATCACCTAAGCTTCATTATATTTTATGTACCAGGGTCCCTCTGAAATCTACAGAAGAGATGAAAACCAGCATAATCTCTGTATGGTCACTCTTATTAGTTCTAGTGATAGAAATGTAGCCGTGTTAGTCTGGTGTAGCTGAAACAAAAAACAGGACTATGTAGCACTTTAAAGACTAACAAGATGGTTTATTAGGTGATGAGCTTTCGTGGGCCAGACCCATTTCCTCAGATCAAATAGTGGAAGAAAATTGTGACAAGTTCTAGGTTACTTACTGAAGCATGGGACATTTGCTAGAGACGACGATGAAAAGCTAATTTGAGCTAGACTAGAGCCCTTTAATTATTCCATATTCAGCAAAGTTTTAAACACTCAAGGTCATGCACCACTTTTACCAGGCTCACACATTTAACTTCAGAGACCCATAAATGAGGTCATAAGCAGAAAATACAGTGGCAAGTTTGCAAACTTTGGTGGCACTAAGCTACCAAAATCATGCCTCAGTGACAGAAGTGGATTGTCCTGGAATTTGAGTGAAACCAGACATAGTTCTGTCCTGAAATCAGAAGCTGTATGTATCACAGACAATAAGCAAACCTGGGGCTGGGTAGGCAATGCCTGAGGGCAGCTAGCTGTACCTGGGAAGTTTCTTTTTAAAACTGACTAAACTCTTCATAAGCCCTAGGCACGGTTCCCTCTAAGCTTTGTGTTTGTGCGGGCACGCAAAATGAATTTCCAGCCAGCCCACCTCCAATGCAGAGCTGCACAGTGGGCTGCAGGTGGCTGCTCTGATGGCCAGAGATGGAGGAGCTGGGAGCTGCGTGGCAGGAGGCTGCTCCAGCAGCTGGTGCTAGAGCAGCAACTGCTCGGGTGGCCGGGGCGAGAGGAGCTGTGTGGTGGGCTGCCACATGGGAGCCCGGGGAGGAGAGCAGCGGGGCAGGTACTGGGGTCTGTACCAGCAGGGGTCCAGCATGGAAGCCAGCCAGGTGAGGGTCAAAGGCACCAGCTGTCTGTGGTGGTGGGAGGTACCAGGAGTAGGTAAATTTGGGAGAGGGGAGTGTAAGGCAAGGTGCGCAGTCAGAAGAACTAGTGAGGTACAGAGCCAGGCAAGACAAGATGTGGGGCTGGGTACAGGTCTCTGGGCATTGGGGATTGGGCTGTGGGTCCCAGGCCTATGTACTGTCTGTTTGTGTTTGGGGGCCAGACAGCATGAACCTGGCATATATAATGGTAGAATATGAGAGGCAAGGTGCAAGGCTGGGCACAACTACAGAGCGTGTGGGGGAACAGGCAGTTAGCCAGGCCTATACAGGTACCAGCAAGCTGTGTGTAGTCCTTAAGGGGGGCACATACAGTGGGGCACACACACTGTGTGTTAGGGACGGAGGTTTTAGTAACTGGTGGATGCCACAATAGCAAACATCCAAACAAGAACACATAACGTCAATATTGATGCACAAAAGAAAACTCACTTCATTCATGGATGGAAAATCTTAGAGGGAGCACTGGCCTTAGGCCTCTAGCATAGCTTATCATATTTCTATGGAGCCTTCAATTGACCCACCACAAAATGGATATTATTCTGGATTCCACCATGGCTTAATACCTTCACGTGGTACATGGCCTTGCCAATTTAGTCAGCATTTGATTTTTTGGCTTATATTTTCAATCATTTTCATATACATCTTTCTGGGCACATAATAAGATTTCAACATAGGTTACCCAATTTCTACACAGATGAACACAGAAAGCATCACTACCAACAACACAAGCAGAAGGAAATGTACAGCGATTCACACAGTACCTGCTTTGTCTTTCTTCCTTGAGATTGTGCAGCTCTTCACAGCTCCCACCTTGGAAAACATCTACAAAGAATTTTGTACAGATCTTAGTTCTCTTTGTAATTAAAGTAACGCTTTGACAATGCTTCCCTTTCATAGCAACTGAAATAGACAAAGTCAACCAACAGAAAGAGACATGCATACCAAAAAAGGAAAAGACATATGTCTAGCAAACATTCCATTCTGATAGACCTTATTTAAAAAAAAAACCCTTTTAGTAATTATCCAGCAAACAGCATGGTAACTACGGAAAGCTGTAGTGGTTCAGATCATTGCAATCATTGCTACAGGACACCAAAGTACTTAAAAGAATTATTCTAACCAGACTGTGGCTCCTTCAAAGCTGGACTAACAATTGCCAGTTCATTACAATATCCTTACAACATGTCTTGTCCTTCCAGTACTGCAAACGAGGTACCAAGAAGGACCGGTGGAAGGCCAAAGCTGGTACATAGTGGGTTAGAAGTATTAGATTTTTATCGGCAAATGCTGTTTTCACCATAAACACAAATGACAAAAATATTCCTATTAATGATAATCAAAACTGATTAGATTAGCAATGAAAAATATTGCTTGAGTATCACCATTTAAGGACTTTTACTTTGTATATTTTGATGTTGACAATTTATATTTAAAGGGTTATAAAGCTTTCAATTTTTGAATTTCATCATCTACTGTCATTAAATGTCTGACCTCCTTTCTGCCCTCCCCCATGTCTAAGAGCCCCATAATTTCCTGGAATTGTGAAAGTTAAAAAAAACCCATAGCAATAAATACTGATATTATCCATGACAATTATAAAAATTCAATTCTGCCAAACTTAATTATATGCTGTGCAGCCCTAATATAAGCTAATGGTGTTTAAAAAAAAAGGAGCATGGGTAAGTTTCCTCCACTTTTGACTACTTGTATGGGAAATTCTTGGACACATTTGGTGTTTCAACAGTGAGGAAGGCATGAAAGATAAGGAGAATGAGGTTACTACTTCTCAGATACAAGATGAGGTAATACACTGTAGTCTGAAGATGGATGGTTAGAGATGTCTGAGCAATTACATTAGTCTTTAAAAGCTACTTGGTAGACAGTCTACTTGACTGCCCTCTAACATCACACAATGTACAGCTAACCTGAGGAACTCCTTGCCGGAGGATATTGTGAAGTCCAAGACTACAACAGGTTCAAAAAAGAGCTAGATAAATTCATGGAGGTTAGTTCCATCAATGGCTATTAGCCAGGATAATAAGTAGGAATGGTGTCTCTAGCTTCTGTCAGAAGCTGGGACTGAGTGACAGGGTAATCACTAGATGACTCCCTGTTCTTTTCATTCCCTCTGGGGTACCTTGCATTGACCACTATCAAAAGCCAGGGCATTGGGCAAGATGGACTTTTGGTCTGACCCAGTAAGGCCTTTTTATGTTCTTGATGTGAGGGGGGGGACGGGAGAGGGGAGGAAACAAACTACATGATTGTCTGAGCATTCAAAGCTACCAATCATCCCCAATGAAAGCAGGACATTATTTTTAAGACCACTACGGAGAACAGATCCAACATTGTCTAGATAGCTACATCTATTGTCTCCCCACCACAAAATGGAGAGTTGTTTAGCGGCTGGAGAAGGAGACAGAGAAGGAATTTCATGTTACTCTTCCTAGTTCTGCCACTGACATACTGTATGACCTTAGGAAAGCTCTCCCCCACCTTTCTACCCTAGGAAAATGGCTATGAAATCTTCCTCTCCATCTCCACCTAAACAGAACAGGGGTTCTCAGCTGTGGGTCAGGACTGCATGGTGGGTTGCAACCCTCCAACGGGCTTGCCAAGACTGAATTAGAATTGCTGGAGCCTAGGACGGAAGCCTGAGCCCCACTGCTTGGGACCAAAGTTGAAACCCTTAGGCTGTGTCTACATTGGCACCCTTTTCCGGAAAAGGGATGCTAATGAGACACTTCGGAATTGCAAATGCAGCGGAGATTTAAATTTTCCCCGCGGCATTTGCATGAACATGGCTGCCGCTTTTTTCCGGCTC